CTCCTCTCTCTCTCTCTCTCTTTCTCTCTCTCTCTCGACAATCCTCTCGTTTCAAACGGCTTCCTCTCGGAGCTGCCGAGACACGCCGGCATTGCTCTCGTCACGTTGGCGTATTTACTGTAATCAGACCTTAATTGAAAACCGGGTGCTCCATGCCTTCGGGGACAAGGCGCTTCCTTCCGGTAGAACTCACACCAAGATTACTTGGTATGCGCGAAATTCGCAAACACACGCGAGACGTTTGAGAGCAGCCAATCAATCGTTCTCTCCCGCCACGTGAAAGTTTCACTCGCGTACTTGCCAAGATATCGAATAGTCGCAAGTCAGTGTACGACTCAGACGTACCAAGGAAATCCGTAATTTCGGCGATAGATAAGGATAACAAATTTTGAAATGCATTGAAATGCATAGACGGAACCAATTGGTATCGAAATGATATTTTATAACGAAATTATAATTTGTCCTAAATGCGAGATGAATGTGTAAACACATTTTTGTAATAATTATCCCATAAAGAGGCAAATTACATTAATACGATGGTTTATCATGGATCTATATCGAAAGAATATTTCCCAGTTGGTTTGTACGTTGTAATTTTATAATAATGCGATTGGCTTTATTAATTAATAATTGCGGTACGATCATAAAAGTTCTGCCAAAATGTCGCGATAGATCGCATCAAATTGACGGCACTTGTATTGAGAAACATGTAATCTTACTGACTATGTCACGTATGGTAGTTATTGCACCATTACCGCCAATCCTCTTGTCATCATTATGGCGCTCATTTCGCTCGTTAATCGCGCGATCATCAATGATATCATTAACATTATCATCTATGACTACTTCTTGATTTGTATCCTACTATAAGACAAGTACTAAAGTCAATTATTAAACATTAGCATATTATTGTTACTATAGTATTGTTATTGTTATATATTGTTATTTTGTTATGCAGTGCAAACTCGAAAAATATTGGAAATAATCAAATCTTCAGAATGATTCAAAATTTTACTCGACAAATCGTGCACGAGATTAACAATATATGTTACTAACAATATATCATTCTTCCCTGTCTCGGAACTTTTAATTGATGACGAATATAGACGAGTCGTGAATCAAAGTGATATCTTGTACAATAAATGTGCGGGTACGTGAATTGCTTCCGTTATTCCGTCAAGCTATAGTGACGTAACATCCATGGAGGAGAAAATTCTATAAAAGTGAAATCTCTTCCGTTTCAACGATTGATATCGTCGAATTGAAAATACTTATTTTTCGCTTCTCGATAAAATCGTGCAGAGACGCAATGGCGGCAATATAGATGGTGTATTGTTGAGAGAGTACGCGCGCGCGCGCACGCGCGCACACACACACACACACACACACACACACACACACACACACACACACACACACACACACACACACACACACACACACACACACACACACACTTGAATGCAAGCGATACTTAAAATCACGGGACAGATGCTAGTCGTCGTTTATTCAGTCTATTCGTTTCAACGCGCAACGTTCGACACCGTCGCCGTTTGACAGACGCCGATCATTACTTTTGACACGTTTCTATACGGCATACGTTGCACGCCGCCACCCGCCGTAACCTCCCGAGGTTGTACCGCGTCATTTACGAACCCCCTTTCACGAATCACTCGAGAAAAGTTTCCGTTTCCATTCGCGCAAAGTCCTCTAGCAAAGCACATTTCGAATCGTATTCGCAGCGCGACATTTTCGGCATTTATTCGTCGAACGCGATCGAACGCACCAACAAGCCCGATAAAAGTTTGTCCACTCTTGATATTGATAAATTGCGGTTGCCACCATTTGTCAACTCTTATGGTTATTTCTGGCATTACAGGCGCCCGATCTATTGAGCAATATTTTGTATAAAGAATTCCGCCGAACAATTTTCCCGACGTTGCCGAGTAAAAAATGGCTCCGTATGATGTACATCTGCGTGCATCTTGTCTGCGCAAATGGATAGTTCCGCGGTATTGTTTACGTTATTTACAAAGCGCATAAATGTAATATATTTATAAATAGCGCTATTATGTGTATTTCGAGTTATTATTTTAAATCTATGAACTCGAATGAGTTCAGTCCGCTCTATTGTTGGGAATCGATAAACGTGCAACAGTGCATCTCCATGAAAGAGCAGAATAAATCTTCAATGAATGATGTTCATTCACGCGAAAAAGCGAACTATTGAAAGGAATTTAATAACTCCGTCATTGAAACGCAAGCGAGGGAAAAGACGTAACCTCGCAAATGAGAAAATAAAGATAATAAATGTGCGAACTGTTCTGTAATGTGCGCATACTCATCGGAATTCGAGGTAAAAGTTTTACGAGCCCCCTAAAAAAAAACCGCGACGCGTAATTTGATCTTTTACCTTTTCCACCTTGCTTCTTCATGAAATAATAGTATCTTTACAGAGATACTACTGGAATTATTCTCAGTTAATCCCGCAGCAGCTATATCATCTTACCGCATGCGGAACCTTATTAATTTAATTGGCGATCGTTACACGTTCGCGTTGCTAGAATAACAATGTTTATCTCGTGCACGTAAAGGAAGAAAGCGCAATTAGAGAGGAATTCAATCATCCATTCGCGTCATCCATTTTTAAACCGGGCAGGATCACGTCCGAAGGAATCTCTTCGTGATTTATTTTGCGAAACGCCCGGCGCAACCGATGAATACCTCTTACCTCACTGCGTGAATACTCGATACGCTCGAGGATACATCCGGAAAAAGAGAAACGAGACCGGAACACCGATTGAATTTTTCAACAGAGGAGAGGTAATTTCTGTTTATCATCACCATAGACTGCTTAAGCCATTGTTTTCATGTTTAGCGTGCAGAGCCATTAGCTCTCGCGTAATAATCCGGTTTCACTCGCTCGTCCTGGGGAACGCGACAGATTTTCTCGGTACGGATGGCGCGAAGATAATCCAGTGGTGAAAAGCCGACGCTGCCGCGGCACTCGAGTTAATGGAAAACCGCACGACCTCGTACGTAACCGCGCGTGTACGTGCGTGAGCAAAAACCCGCGAGCTCCGACGTCACGCGCGTGCCACAATCTTCGAGGAAGATAAAAACGACGGATGGTTGCGAAATGATAACGCGAGCGATCCTTTCTCGTTCAGATATAGCGCGACGATTAAACGCCGACTCGTCGGTCTCGACTACCTCGCGGGGCGGCGTTTTTCCGCTCTTCGCGAAATGAGAATAATAACTCGCGACCGTAATAAAAAGCCGGGCGAATTGTCCGAATGAATTTCGTATGTCGCGGCGGACAATAATTCGCCGTGACGACGCGACGCGATCGGATTATTACGTTTATACGACAGTCACGGGAAATGTAACACCTCCCTCCCCCTTCTCCGGATGGCCGGCAAAAATATCGTGGATTCAGACAAATCATTCACGTTCAATTAAGCGATCGAAATTGCGTAACGATTTAACCGCGGTAAAGTTCGCGGATTTTATAAAACTTTATTTATACACACGGTACAAATTTATATAAATGAAATGGAGTTTTTATGGGTATAAACGGAGTATTCATGATATATAAATCCGCGCCTAATTGGCAAAAGAACACGCAACTAATAGCAACGAGTTCGTTCCTAGAAAGAGTTACTTTCTGATTTAAATTCAAGCAGTTGCGAAATCCACGCGCAGAATTTTTGAGCTTGAGGTTGAAAAGGGGCTAACAATGGCTTTCATTAAACCTTTCAAGTCGCGACTTCGTTGCTGGAATTCTCGTACCATCGTCGGCCGCTAATAAAATAACGTCGAATCGCTATTCATTCGCTGCCGAGATGAAGTCGAAAAATTAACCGCTGATCCAAATTCATACGCGGCTCGTGCATGAGGATACAGGATATTTAAAAAGTTCGCGCGAGAACAGAGAAACGGTCGGCCATGAGGCTCTCTCGCTACTTTTGCACCTATACAAACTTTATTAACTTGAAAATCGATAGAGGCAGAAAGGCAAGTTTGTGGATACTATCCGGTGGCGTGATCCCAGGACGACGATCCGTCTCGTAGGAAGACGCCAATGGCTCACAAATATGTCGTCGATGGTAGCGGTCGCCATCCCATCCCACATAGCTCCCACTCTCCATAGGTAGATCCACCCTAGTCTTCAGAAATGAGATAAATATTGCACTATCGGTCTCCATTTCGCGGATCTACGTATCCATGTCCTGCACGTGACATGCAGCATGCAAAGAAAACAAATCGAATAGTTTCTTATATTTTATGATTTATATGTGACATCATGTATCTACGTGATAAAAAAAATATATGAATTGTGGAAAGAATAGCTTAACAAGTAAAGTTACAATTCCAATAATTTCATAATTGTTAAATCTAAATTATACATGGAAAAAGTAATTTTGTTGAAATATCTGGAAATTTGACTATAATGAATGAGAAAAAGCATAATGTCTTTTATGTACAACCTTTTGCAATTTTGGCGGATCGTGTCAGATTTTGGGCATCGTGCAGTTTTGCGCGATATTGAGAAGATATTTTTCAAGAGATGGCGAATACAAAATCTTTCCGGTTGTCAGAAGTAACCAATATATTTAGATAGCTCACCTCAGCGTTCGCTCGTTCGATGTCTCGTTAACTGACGTCGTGCCTAGCCTTCCAACGCCGTCATTTATTATTCGACATGAAAAGGCGAGCCGCTGAGACGCATTGAAATTTTTCGCGGGTCATTAGGAAGAGAAAAGAAACGGCGGATTTCGATACCCAGGAGACCAGGACGCGTCGCGTCTGAACATCGCAATCTCTATCTCAAGGCTTGTCTCTATCTCAAGGCTATCAAGAGGATGATTCTCGGTTCTCTATCGATTACCCGTCAGATTCGGAAACACGAGAAATGCATCGAAGTTCAAGAACGACAGTTTCTCCGATTTCTCGCTATTATACGCGTAAATTCGTAAATTAATTGTGTAGTAACTCACCGTACGCCAAAAGCACCAATCCTTCCTCGCGATTTAGACCTGCAATAAAATAATAGTAGTAGTTAATGCATTGTGAGATCGGAATCGAGAGAACTTTAATCGTTCAAACTTCCATAAAAGATGTTGACCGCGATGCGAAACCGAGTATGGGATTTCGATATAGAAGTAACATATGTTTGAGGTTGACCTTGGCAATAAGAGCGATAATATCCTTTCTCACCTATTTTCTTCCATTAGAATCAATAGGCGGAGGCGGGAAACGAAATCCAGGCGGAAAGGGAGGAAAGGCGATCGTCACCGACGCAACCACCTGCCGGCCTTTCCGTTCGGTCTTCAGGATTTCAGCCCAGTAATTGCTGCGGCAATTACCGTGAATTACGGCGATAATTACCGTCATTATGCGGTGCAGTAATTTTGGTAATTACTACAGTAAATCGCCAACTATCCGATTGCAACCCGTCGCTCCTCATCTTGCGGTTAGTACCGGATAACTTTTAAGTTATCTCGTCCAATGACCAGCCACGTAATCACGAGTCGAATTGAATTTCCATTCGCGGTAATACGAAACCGAAGGAAACATGTTCGAGATACGGCACGGCGGTCAATCGCAACGTTAAATTACGAAATGGCGTAATTCTGTAAAACCGCGCCGTACTTAAATACACACTTTAAAAATCGACTGGAGATATTATCCCTCGAAATTAAGAGCTATGTCACAAAATAAGAAAAGCGCTAATTAAGCCGTGGACGGCCCGGCGTGTTTTTCTTTTGTACATTATTCGCACGTAAAGAGCCAGTTTTATAGAAGTAAGTGGCACACGCCGGTTCGAAATTAATTCAAGGAAACGAGATCTTTCAGAGTTATTAACCGCTCTCTGTATTTTCGCAATCAGCGAGAACTCGATTTAACAATGGCGCCATTCATTTCGGCTTGATAATGAAATGAAAATAGATGAGAGCGCATGCGGAGAAGTGAAAATTCTGAAATATTACTCGAGCAAAAAAGTTCGTGACGATTTAATTTATCACGTGCGTTTCCTTTCTATCTCCGAAATATGAAATTATTAGCGTTATTTAAATGGCCATAATGTCTACAATGTGAACAAAAGAAGCTTAATAAAGGAACTTAAAAACTTATATATACGAAGCTCTTTGAAAAAGAGCTCTCTGATATGAAGTTACATATATTTTGATTTATCGCCGGAAACTGTAAAAAAAACAAATATCGCTAACCATCGACGACCAAGTGTGAGCTATGGTTTCTCACTGTAGCGCACGCGATCGGAACGATCGTTCCTCGTAGCTCAATTTTGATATTCGAGACACGAAGTTATTTAATGGGCTGCAAGAATGACGGCTACTGCTGCAAGAGGTATTACGGCAGTTGCAACAGTAACGACAGAAACCATATACCACGGTCATTCGATCCAACTTTGCGCTTTGTCGGTATGGGTCACCTTTCGTCCGTTTCGAGAACTCGCGAAACAGTACGCGTTTCCACTCTTCGATGTTTGCCCTCGCGCGAAAAATGCAACGAGTATATTAATCAATATGGGGAAATATTTTCCATCGGCATATTTGAACTCGGTCGTACCTCAGTGATATATTTTTAATATTCCGGTAATGTGCGCCGGGCGAGCATCGTGATTTAAGGTATTTCGAGCGTAATACAAAAGCCGACATTTTTGGCATTGCCACTGATCGGAATGTTATTGTTGAGTTTGGTGTGACGATCGCTTAGCCCGGAATGTTTGCCCGGACGCAATCGAACGGTGCACCCCACCGATGCAGCCGGTGCATTTGAAATGATTACCGGTACGCTGCGTTGTCGCGTTGAATGGTACGAATTGTTAGCAGCTATTTGCGAATTTATGAATCACTCTGCCGGTGACGATTCGCACACCCCAGATAACACGTTCATCCAGCGCCTTCTCTCTCTCTCTCTCC